TTAATGGTGTTGAGGTGAACACATTTGGGCTTTCAATACTGTGAGGCATACTTAATAGTTTACTAACAATAGCAGAGTTTATTTTTTTAAGGAGCAGGTGCAACGCTATTCTGTAAACACGTGTAAATTACACGCCCTCTGAATGTTATTTTTCAGATTTTTCATGTAAACCTCCTTTCTGTTGCAGCGACACCTTCTGCAGGAAACAAATCTAACCAACTGGTTTCTACACCCGCTGATCAACCCCAAATTCTCTTTATTGTTGAACTACAGCAGCAAATCCACCTTAATACCAGAGTCGCTATTTGTATCAAAGGGAACATTGCGCAGCGAGACCTACGTCTCGGGAACAAAAAAGTAGTGACGTTTCAGCATCTGCTTTTTGATGATCCAGAACACTGGAGACTTTGATGATCCTGCTATATTTATTGAGCAGCAGTCTCAAAGAGCCAAACCAAGGGAACTAATGCAAATGTTAATGAAACATTGAAGTTGAGATTTTAATTACTTAAAGGTCAGCACATTCAAAGTTTATTAATTGAAGAGAGTTATTCTGTATTCCCACAGCAAACCCCACTCTGCTCTTGCACAGATCAAAGAATTCAAGTTACTGTTTATTAGCTGATGCATGCAAATTATATAACCATGTTATACTCAACTGAATATTATCCCTTCTTGCCGTTAGGGTCTCGGCCTTCGAACGCAGTTCCCTGTGTACTGCGTTCCCACACTTTTCAGTAGTGCTAAAACTGTTGCTTTTCTCTAATCTTTGTTCTAAGGTACTAAAGGCTACATTTCCTTTCAAGCTTGGAACTTCTTAGTTCTCTATTTAGTTAGCAACATTTGTTGCTAAACTATCACAAAACACTCACAGAATCGCTGCAAATGAATGCAGTGTTATGACTGCATGAAAATACTTCTCTAAAGATACTTTTATAAAATTTTGGCTTCCAAATACTACGGCGCCTGCAATCCGTTCTCAAAACAGGAAAACGTGTTTGGAAAGATTTGAGAAATGATTCCTAGAAAAGCCTGTGAGGGGGAGTAGTTTCAGAGCTAGTAGTTTCAAAGCCTGTAGTTTCAGAACCTTGTGCACAAACCCCACTTGTAAGCTGTTGAAAGATCTTTCCTTCTCAAAATGCTCCTCATGTAAAAATCGTTGGGTTTTTGCTGATAGCAAAAAAGGTTCTTTCCCAGTGAATGAGGTGGAAAGTTAAATGAGATGAATCTTGTTTCTAATAAGTTTTCAGTATTTTGCTTAATTTATTTCCAGATTCTCTCCCTCAGTCTAACAGTAACCTTTGTATTTCCCCCCATCGAACCTGTAGAACTGTGATCCGAGAAGCCTCTCTTTGACAACACTATCTGAAACAAATTGCCTGCTTTCCACCTTTATGAAATAAGTTATGGCATTTTAATCCAAACCTAAACTATATTTTGTCTTTTATTTTCTCTTTGATTACATGAATTTTGGCCATCAGAATGCTGCAATGCTACTTTATCCTGTCTATCAACTTTAGGTATTTCCATCTTTACTTTTATAGTAGTCAAGTATGCCTTTCTTCACAATGGACTTTTTCCTCAGCTTTTCCCTTTTCCTCGAGGAAAAGATGTGTTATTATAACAAACACAGGTTTCTCTCATACCTTAAAGGTACCTTTCCAGGACTGGAGGGCAAGGAAAACCAGCGTATATTCTCTTCAACTCTGCTATGCTACATATTCCTAGAGTCAGTCATGAAATCCTGATTTTAGCACAATGCCTCTGGTGTGCCTAGGATTCACTGTGCCTAGGATTTTATCTTAAAGTCACTACCTCAGAGTCTTTAAATGAACCTCTGGAAGCCCCTTTCTTATTAAACTGAAATGTATATAGACAGCAGACTGCAGTTAAATACCTATCTCAGACATGGAAAACAGTGCAAAAACGTAATATTCAGACATAATAAACAGATCTAACTTAACATGTTTCTCAAGGAATAGAGAAAGAATTGGGTACCAATATTTGCCTTTGGTAGCTGTGCTGCAAGAATACGTAAATGCACGTAGTTACAAATTAGCTATGCTTTGAGTTTTGCATAAGCTGATGCCCTTATAAGGCAACAGCCATCTTTTTTTTTTTTTTTTCAGAGGAGAGAAGTTAAAAAATAAGCATGTAAAAACTACCTTTCTTTTCCTTCTCTTTTGAAGAGCTGCCAGCAAATCTAGCCTCCTAGTTCTATTTCAAGATGCTCAAGATCACACATGGTATTCAGAATCACTTTGAAGATAACGTGAAGGATGTCTGATCCAAAATTAATATCCTTGTCTGTGTTAACACTGTAGGGCTGTTAGCAAGAAAGAAAAAAAAAATAAATCCCAAATTATCCATGTGACTGGTTAAACCAACAGTCTAGCACCTTATTCAAGAGCCATTTCCTTAAATCCATTTCCTTAACCAATGAATGTGCCCTTGAGATCAGCAGTAGCTGTTTTCTCCCCCAAACCAATGTACTTCAGCTTGTATGTACCCCTGATTGTTTGAAAAGAAGCAAAGGCCAAGCTCAAAGTAGACAAGCCTTCCCTTGGGGTAAGAAAAATCAGCAGTTCTAGAGAAGTACTAGAAGAACGAAAGCTACTAGAAGAGTATGAGAAACCACAGTGCTATTCAGTTAGGGGAAAGAGAAGTGGAGACAAAGAAATAATCTTTCCAGCTACATGTTGGTAACCTAGGGATTTCACTAGCAGAACAGGGTCAGTGATAACAGCAGGGAAAGTAAAAGACCACCTGTAATACTGCATCTCTTCCCAACTTTTGCAGGCTCCAAATCCATAGAAACATTTAGGTATTAAGTTGTTGATTAAGTGCTTAAGCTGTAGTTTATTAACCTGACTGCCATTTTGAATCTGGCTCGAAGTCAAAAAGACTACATCTGTAGTAGTAAACAGCCAGGATCTCTGCCCATTCTCTGGCCCTGAGAAAGAACATCCTTGTGTGTTCTGCATCCATATGGCCGAACTGTCTTCCCCTTCAGTGGTGCCACCTCTGGGGATGAGCCCATGCTGTCCTGCACATTGTATCCTGGTGTCTTCTGGAAAAGCATGGTTTGGCCTTAGCGAAAGCAATGTGGGGGACCGTCAGCAGTGGCACTGACTGTCACGGTGCTCAAGCCCACGCGCTGGCACTGCTCCGTTTGCTAAGATGGGCCAATAGGTCCGTGTAACATACGCAATAGCCACCCTCCAAGTGTGTCCTTTGAACACCAAAGAGCTGGAACCAAAGTCTAAAGGTTTTAGAAGAACAGTATACTTCAGAAAGAGAGCCGGTGAGCCAGACGGCACCACCGGCCCTTCCTGGAAGTGGAGCACCAGGGGATCCTCCGGAGTTAGCTGGGTCTCAGCAGCGGCGGGAGCAGGAGGGCAAGCTGTGCTGTACGGCACCAGCCCC